AATCCAGAACACTCTTCTGTGCCCTTCTCCTGTGTCACCAATGAGCTTGCTTTCTCCAAGGCAACAAGATTCACTGAACTCCTATTTGCACTCTGGAAGCACAACACAAGACACACAGCCTACAAACTTTTGCAACTCTGGAAGAGTAACATAAAAGAAAGAGTCAGTTAATGAGGAAACTTTCCAAGAAGGCAGGCAATTGTTTCAGCTGCTAAAAAGATACACATGGAATTCCCATTCTCTTGCAAACCATCTTCAAATGCTATTTCATGTCTGCAAGTTGTATGGCTCTAAATTCAGTAGACCCAGACTGCATTATCACTCTTAATTTGCAAAATATCAAAGAAACATGTCTATATAAGGCTCAGATAGTATGTGAAAAATGAATGCTTGGAATGATCTAATATTACCAACATATTTATACTAAACCCCTACATTTTAGCATAAGCCCAAGATGCAGGGAGGTTAGTATCATTACAAAATGTTAAAATACTATTTTTGGTCCTCTCATGGAAATTTCACACACAGTCATTTATGAAAACTTTTCTTCTCATAGAACATGACTCTGACTTATCCTTGTCTTCAAGCATGGAAGTAAATTTAGAGACCAGTTGAAAAAATTACTTCCTACAAAGTATTTTCAGGATTCTTTTTTTAACAATGAGAGGAGCAGATTTTTCAGAGAAGGGGTTGCTTCATTTATTCCATTTAAAGAGCAAAAGCTATCCTGATACCCAGTAGCAAAAGAGATTTTCATGTAACTTTAAGTAAGGAGCTAGCTTTGAAATTAAAGTTTACCCTGATACCTTAGTGTTACTGTTGTATGCAGTCCAATGAACATATGAAGAAAAGAGCCCAACATCTCAAATTTTGACTGTGAAACTATAAAATACAGTAAGGAAAGCTTACTACATAATTGCATTTACCGTTATGTACACTTTTGTTGCTTTTATTCCATTTTTAATAAATTTTATCCCATATGATATAGTAAAACTTTGTAATTAACTCTTCAAAATTTCTTTTGTTTTTCCAGGTGCAACGTATAGAAAGATAACAATATCATATCAGATGTCTTTACTGTATGTTTTTATAACCTACAAAAAAAAAAAATTACTTATTCTAGGAACAGCAGTCTATCCCAACTATATTGATGCAATCCAAGTATTTGGCAGAAATGTACGCGGCTTTCCTCTGATCTCTAGGGATGCAACTTATAAATATTCATATGTGAGGCTACTCTCACAAGTGGATTTTTCATTTCAAGTAATTCCATTGCAAAATTAATTGCTGTTTAATTTCCTGTATTTTCTGAGCTGACAACAGAAATTTTTTAAAATAGAAAAGCAAAAAAAGGGGGCAGAAAGGCATCTCTTAAATCCATTTTTAACACATAACTTATATAACAATCCACCAAATCAGAAGGATTTGTGAGACCCTTAGGAACCTACAAATTACTGTTAAAGAAAAATACGGGGGGGGGAGTGGGGGGGGAGGTGAGGGGGAAAGGAAATAAAGGAAGGAGAGGAGGGAGATCCTTTCTTACCAAACAGTGCAACTGTAGCAATTCTTCTTTCATGTCTACTACTGTGCATTCTTTGCATTAGATTATTCCTTCTTCTCATCCTAAAGTACATACAAATGTTGTGCTTACATGAAGGCCTCCAGTGGACCTTTTATGCAAGATAAATAGACAAATTACACTTCAGTCTGACTTGACATCCTCATGCAGACAGAAAACATCATTCTACACTTATTTTCTTATTCGTAACAGAGGTTCATCAGAATTTCATCAACCTTTATAACAATAAACTTAACCTAAAATGAACTCATTTCTGAAAGACAGACACATAATCCCATCTTTGAAGAAGTATCACAGACTATTCAAAACTCTCAGAAGTTTTGTTCACCTGGTTCAGCAGAGGTGGGAAGGGGGGTGTTGAGCCTACAAAAACATTCATTACTTCTCAGGGTTGAACTGATAAAATCTCTCCTGCGGCAGAAAAAGTTACCAATCAGAGAATAAAACACTTTCAGTAGCTCTTAGTTATATATCTCTGTTACTAATTTCCCTCTTACTTCACCCTCACTATCAGCAACACATAGTGCCTACCTATTTTGCCAGTATCTGTAGCAGAACAATAAATGAAGCCTGTGAAACTTAGCAAGACGACAAACATGGGTGTTATACAGAGACACGGTAATTCATAAATCCAAAGAACCATTCTGCTAGATGAATTATTTTCTAGTGTTTGAACAACACGTGCCATTGTCATAAACTGTAAGTATAGCCGGCCAGAAAACACACTCTGCTAAACATAGTGGCTTCCCATTAATAGACCCAACAGAAAACTTGTCTGGAAGTCCTACCACAACACTAGATGGTGATTGTAGCTGGGTATGGCAAGCATCTCTTATCTTTGGGTGTGTTCCCCGGCCAGACTACGACTGCCAAGATCCACCAGCCCCACCTCACTGAACCACTATGGCTGACCGTAAGAATCGTAGGCCAAAGTCCATCTCATGAGATGCAGTCTAGCTGAAGAACTTAAAAACAACAGTGAGGTACAGAGCCTTCTGCTACCTGTAAGCATTACTCTTATTGGGGCATGGAAGCAGTACTCTGCACTTTCTGGGGAGCTGAAGGTTCTTTTGTAGTGTTTAATGCTTTTCATTCAACACATGTAAGGAAAAACTTTGCTTGTAATGCTCTGCTGAGAAAAAGATGCTTGTAAAATGGAAATGAGTAAGAGTTTATATTTTATGACTATGTCTGTTTTGATGCATCACCAAATCCATCATTATCCTTTAGCTTAGGGTTAAACATGAAGCAAAAGAGAAAGCAAGGAAAAGCAGTTGTCTGAACATGCTGGAGAAACCCTGTATACTTAGCCCATACATAAGTCTCCTAAGTTACAGCACATTACTAACACTTGAGTAACTACAGCCATTAAATCCTCCCTTGTTAAAACTTAAAATACTGTATCTGAAATAAATGTGATCTAGACAAAATAAGAATTGCTGACATATGCTCTCAAGAATAAAAGTGTAAAAAAAAAAAAAAAACCAAAACCACAAAAGCAACACTTCAGAAAATGTGGAAGTGTACCTACCAAAAGTATGCACATGAAAAAGCAGACCTTCCTAATAAAGACAACAGATCTCAGATATTATAAGTTTCCCCATCTGCCATTTAAGAAGTATTAATTAAAAAATAAAATAATTTTAAGAGAGAAGAATATATAAAATACATGTTATATGTGCATGTACAGGTGAGGAATGAGCAAGTAATTAACAAATGATCAAAATAAAAATGCTTTTGCATTTGATGCAGTTATCTGCTGAACTATTAAATACTAGAGAGAGGAAAAGATGGCATGCTGCTTCTCAGATAAATGACACTTCAGAGCAGTCACGGGAGAAAGGCATGAGAAGCTGCTGAACAGGCACCTCCCCACAGAGGCTGCGACAAGAACCCCCGAGCTGAGACTGCCGAACGCTGCAGGGGGATGTGCCGACACTCCCCCGCAGCCCCACGTCCCCGCCACCTCACAGCCCTTGCCTGCAGAACAAGACTGGGTTCCTTCTGCCCCTGCAGGCACCAAAACTGATACTTCTTTCTATCTGCTGATCTTGCACAATTGTGTATGCCGTATCACGGGACCGTCCTATCGCTGACTTGCCCAGATACTGACATGAGAAAGTAGGGCTAAGATTTATTATTTCCTGTGATGACAGATACGGAGAAATTTTCAAGTCAATCAAAGCCAGAGAAAATTTGAAAATAAATGCCAGCATCGTCTATCATAGATCAAGAAAGAAACAAACAACCCTACAGCCTAAACATCCATTTCAAATAAGCTACTTCAATGATAATACACCTAACTCTGACAACATTACTTCCACAAAATACAATCAGGGACTCAAAGAGAAAGTGGACTGATACAAGAGCAAGAGGACTGGAGTGTGCGTGTATAGTGTTTTCAATTGCCTAGATGAGATCCCTGAGGAGAAAAGAAACATACAAAGAAAGAAATCAAATAAGTAATGTCATTCTAACTGTGCATGTTACACTGGACAACCTTTCAAGATCAAGGGCCTTTTCTTCTCTGCCTTTCTATGCTTTGATACACTCTAAAGGGTCAGTGCTCGTAGCAATTTTTCCCAACTACCCTTGTAAGCAACTCAGTTTGCATGTCCCCGCCAGCATCACACCACAGTAGTGGAGAGCACAAGTCAAATGAATGTTCCTACAAGCTACAAGTACAATTAAGGGACCCTTCCTTAAAGCACGTCCCTCAACACAGTGAGGTGTAAGACAATTTAAACAGATACTGTGGTAATATAAAGCAGAAAAGACAAGGCTATCAGATACTAGGGGGAGGAGGAAGGTGAAAATGATCCAATTCTATGCAGAAAGCAAGAACAAAAAAAAATTATTTGGGGCTTCATACAGAATATGCCAGAACAGTTGATTATCTTCCCTTGGATTTGGCAGGTTTCTGGATCAAGCCTGCCTAGATTTTCAATCTGAGGAGAAAGTTTCACTAAAGCTCCAGTCTGCTCCCAAGAACAAGCTAGGATCACTGAGATAATCCTAACCAATTAATCACAACCCTGGGTCTACATCAACAAATTCACCATCAGCATCCTGACTTTGTTCAGATATCCTTCAGGAATCATTTATTGCAGTTAGAAAACAAACAAACAAACAAACCAACCAACCAACATTTCTTGCAATAGCCTGCATTTGTCCCAATCACATCATACCTCTTTGTAGAGCTTAACACCTGTGACACTGAAGTCAGTTTAAGACAGCAGGACAGAAGCTGAAAGCCATCTCTTCACACAAAGCAACACAGTTTCATAACGGAACAAGAAAGAGATCGACTGTGACAACAACACACAGTGCCTCACAACATCTATAAGCAACAGAAGATAAATTTAAATGACATCTACAAAGCGTTGAGGAGACAAGGAAATGATGGCGGAAAGGAACTTACTTGATTTTACTGAAGACAATGTCGACGTCTGTGATTGTCACATTCTTCCCATCTATCACATGGCAGTCCTTACATAGCTTTGACCAGTTCTTCCCATGCATTTCTTTTCCTGTGGCTCTTGTATCACCATGGATGGCAAATTTTCTAAAGGCCTCTTCCAGAGCACTTACTTCTCCTGCCATAGCTCCCTCATGGGAGCTGTTTGAATCATAGGATAGTCGTTTTGCTGCTCGGTCCTTTGCTGGATCCGAAGGAGACTTTGGAGGAGTCTTATTCACAGGTTTGGTCGACTTCGCTTTATTGTCAGCCATTGTGCTACAAAGAAGAGGAGGGTAAACTCATTACATTCATTTGCAACAATGAACAATAGTTTATTTTCTGTTAAGCTACAGGCTACGGTCCATATCACACATATGAAGAACAAACAAGTGGTCTATAAAGTTAGCAAGAATTCAGTGTCTTCCACCATCAAACAACAGTCTATACGTAGAACCATGTGACACTCTGCCCATCTAGAAAAAAATTCTAGCATATTTAGAAAAAAAAAAAAAAAAAAATCAGGGAAAGGACATTCCAGAGTAGAGCACAAACCTAATTTCACCATCATTACATCGGCAAACAAGAGAACAATTCGTGTTGGGATTTGGTTGCTTTTTTTTTGAAAAAGTGGCAATCACCACAGTCACTCTACTGTCTTAAGTAAAAGTATGCCCTTTACATTGTAGACATTTCTACCTACTTTTATTTCTGAAAAAAAACAAGCAGCCCTTTATTTTCTGGACTGTGGCTTTTTTTTTTTTTTTAATTGAAAATGCAATGTTTTGAAATTGTAGCAAAAACATTACTGTTTTAATGCTTATGTTATATAATGTAAGGGCTAATGAGTAAAGAAGCCACAGAAATGCTTAAGACATTGCTCTCGTTAACAAAACCATTAATTTCTCAAGTTTGTGACCAAAGAATTGTAGCTGTGGAATTCACTCGGAATGAACACAGCCATGATGCAGGAGCACTGAGAAAGGCTGTCATTACTGCAGAGAACAACTGTTGGATTACCCTGTGGTTACGTAAAATAGATTTGCCTTTTAGACAAAACCTTAAACTGAGCAACAGAACGCTAAAGTTTTTTTTCTTTATGAAGACACCTGAAAATAATGCCTAACACGCCAGAAGCATGCCACAGAAGCTTTTGCCTTCTGCCCATCCACTCAGCTTGGCAGAAGTAAGAGGCACTGAAAAGCCAGAGGATAGGGTGCACTGTGTGCCTGTCCCAACAGCATGCAGACTGTTGCCCTCCTACAAATTTTAGCCCATAAACAGGTGCTTCGGGTATTAGAAGATCAGCAGATACTGGATGAGGGCTGGAAAGCCCACCATACTTACTTTATCCATTCTTCTAAAGTCACAGATGGACATATGTGCAACTAACATACGCAAAGATTAGTAAGTATTTCTAGTTAAGGCTTTATTTCTGCACCAGATAGAAAGTTCTTTTGGCTTATATACTGTACTTCAATGCATACTCCTCAGCAATGGAAACAATTCTAAAATTCTACCTCTTCCAGTCTTGCTTAACCTCTGTCACTTGAACAACCAAGGCATACCTCTTCCTGTATGCTGCAACAGAACCAACTACCTGCTATGCAGCAGTTACTGCTAAGCTTGTTGATTACAAACAACCTCGTAACAAAACCTATGGTGAAGGACCTTTGTTCTTCATGCTTGAGGAAAAGCAGCACAACCAAAGCACTACTGTCTGTTTTGAAAATATTCAACTAAATGCTTAAAAACCTTGATGTTTTTTTAAGCCTGAGGATTCTTCTGTTTTGTTTGCACTGTCAGCACAAGTTTTGGCCAACAAACCAAAATACCAAATTAAAATTAGTATGACAGGAATTTACTAATTGTAGCCTGAGAGTTCTAAGTGCACCTGTGAAATAAAAATAAAAACACAAAGGGGGAGGAAAAAGATTTTGAAAATTTAAAGTTCATTAAAAAGTTAAAAATGTAACCAATTCCCATTTCTATTTTCTTCACACCCTGCCTGCTCTCCAAAGAACAGCAATTTTACTTCAGTAAACTTTTCTGAAAGTCACCCAAGACTGAAACTCCAAAACAATAAGCACCCACAGTATATTGTAAGCTACTACAAGTATGACAGATGCATACATTTTTACCAAAATAGTGTCTAGATCAGTCTAAACTGTCTGAATCATCAGGCTATGCACATTATTTTGCTACCAAAACAGTGGTGAGAGAACGTAAGAAGAAAAGAATAACACTGCTCACACAATCTATGCAAAAAAGAATTATGTTAAAAATCAGATCATGAAATCTACGATCTACCTCCGTCTTTGAGGAAGCCTGACTTCCAAAAGCAAAAGTCTCTTCCAAGTTTGCACCATTTCAAATCCACTGGAGCTGGAAACTAGAACCAGAAATTTTCCAAGCTAACACTAACTAGCTAGGGAAAGACAGACAGACAGACAGACAGACAGACAGACAGACAGACAGAAAGACAGAAAGACAGAAAGACAGAAAGACAGAAAGACAGAAAGACAGAAAGACAGAAAGACAGAAAGACAGAAAGACAGAAAGACAGAAAGACAGAAAGACAGAAAGACAGAAAGACAGAAAGACAGAAAGACAGAAAGACAGAAAGACAGACAGAAAGACAGACAGAAAGACAGACAGAAAGACAGACAGAAAGACAGACAGAAAGACAGACAGAAAGACAGACAGAAAGACAGACAGAAAGACAGACAGAAAGACAGACAGAAAGACAGAAAGACAGAAAGACAGAAAGACAGAAAGACAGAAAGACAGAAAGACAGAAAGACAGAAAGACAGAAAGACAGAAAGAAAGACAGAAAGACAGAAAGACAGAAAGACAGAAAGACAGAAAGAAAGACAGAAAGACAGAAAGACAGAAAGACAGAAAGACAGAAAGACAGAAAGACAGAAAGAAAGACAGAAAGAAAGAAAGACAGAAAGAAAGACAGAAAGACAGAAAGACAGACAGAAAGACAGAAAGACAGAAAGACAGAAAGACAGAAAGACAGAAAGACAGAAAGACAGAAAGACAGAAAGACAGACAGAAAGACAGACAGAAAGACAGACAGAAAGACAGACAGAAAGACAGACAGAAAGACAGACAGAAAGACAGACAGAAAGACAGACAGAAAGACAGACAGAAAGACAGACAGAAAGACAGACAGAAAGACAGACAGAAAGACAGACAGAAAGACAGACAGAAAGACAGACAGACAGAAAGACAGACAGAAAGACAGACAGAAAGACAGACAGAAAGACAGACAGAAAGACAGACAGAAAGACAGACAGAAAGACAGACAGAAAGACAGACAGAAAGACAGACAGAAAGAAAGAAAGACAGAAAGAAAGACAGAAAGAAAGACAGAAAGAAAGACAGAAAGAAAGAAAGAAAGAAAGAAAGAAAGAAAGAAAGAAAGAAAGAAAGAAAGAAAGAAAGAAAGAAAGAAAGAAAGAAAGAAAGAAAGAAAGAAAGAAAGAAAGAAAGAAAGAAAGAAAGAAAGAAAGAAAGAAAGAAAGAAAGAAGAAAGAAAGAAAGAAAGAAAGAAAGAAAGAAGAAAGAAAGAAAGAAAGAAAGAAAGAAAGAAAGAAAGAAAGAAGAAAGAAAGAAAGAAAGAAAGAAAGAAAGAAAGAAAGAAAGAAAGAAAGAAAGAAAGAAAGAAAGAAAGAAAGAAAGAAAAGTAAGTACAGAAGAGAAAAAAGCAAAGTCTGTACTTTAATGTCTGTATAGGATATTAAAAACCAAAGTTACTCCCATAAGCAAGTAACAGGACAAAAGAAGGTGGTGAGCTGCTATAGTGCTAAAGAAAGGTATGTACAGGCCATACCATTTTGCAATTTTATCTTCTGCCAAATAAACTTTCCAAGAGATTTTTGGGGGATAGCCCCTTCTTGCTCTTAGCAATTCTGTCAAGAAGCTATACTCAGTGTAAATATCCTTGAAAGATACAACAATTGCACAGTTGACAAACTGTAAGCAAGAAAACAAAGATGCCACTCTGTCTCCTCTGAAATTAGAAAAAAACAACTACAAGCCTACATGTTTAAGTATCTCTTGAACAGAATCATTCTTTAGCCAGTGTCAGTGCCTTGCTGGCCAACTCTGCCTAATCCCATGTCACCCACAACCATAACTCCATGTTGCACAGCACAGCAGAAATGTTTTTTAAAAAGCAACTAGTGATTTCAAATTTTCTGATTCCAATTTTCTGAATCGTGTGATTTTTTTTTTTTTTTAATTACATTATTTTCTGGCCGTACTACCAGCTTATACCATCTTCAATATGAGAGCTGTATTTATTGAAAATGTTTTTTACTTACTTTCAGTTGCTAATAAATTCAAAGTTTATAAACCTGCTACAGGAAAAATATTTGGCCTTGAGAAAGGTCGTTCACTTCCAGACTTAGTTCTCTCAGACATCAATAAATGAACTTTGTATTGGGGTGTTATGAGTAGTTCTGGGCCAGGGGAGAACATGACACACTATAGAAAAGGCTTTGGTTTTGAATGATTAAATCTGGTATGCAAAACAGGCTCATTTCAAAGAAATCCTCACCATCGAAAGCAGAATGTCAATGATAGATTAAAATTAGGGCTCTGCTTGGTTGCCAAAAACTCCTTTCCATGTTGAACAGTAATTACAGTTTACTTGTTAAAATCCCAAGTAACAGCATGAAATTTACTCATAAGAAGCTACCTGGTTTATGAAAATACTGACCTGGCCTCAACTTAAAATTCTGTTTCTTAACACTACAAACAACACACTCTGAAAAGAAACATACTCATGAATATACTTTATTAGAAGGCAAATAAATGGAAACCATGAGATATGAAATCAGATTTTTAAGAGGGTCAGCTCCTTTAACTTCTTTTAGTGATTAGAGATGAGGAAGGAGATCACACCACGTTGAAGAAATGATCTGTTAAAGAGAAATACAGAATAACCTGTTTGCCAAAAATTCAAGCTCAAATGCAGTTTTGAGTCTTCCTTATCCTTCTTTTCCCTGAACAAGGGGATCAGAAGGTGCTTGCTAGCTTCTGCTAGAAGTAAAGGTTAGCAGTAATTTGGAGAGGGGCCACAGCAGGGTGATGGGTAGAAGTGATGAAAGAGACTACTCTAAAATACCAATTCTAAATTTCGGTAAAACAAAATTAAGTCACTGTTCAAAAGCGTGAGCTGTGCAGATACCAACTATAACAATTACAGCTAACCAAAGAAACGCCGTTCATCACCATTCAAAAAGTCTAATATGCACACAGTGAG